ATGTGGATTGAGACCTCAAATGTGCCATCCACTTTTTAGGAGTTTAGTAATTTGTGGATCAACTTCAGTGATCTAGCTTCAACCGCCACACACTTAGCGAAATTTGGCTCCATTTGGTTACATGATTTCTAAAATCATAAGCCAACACACAAAAATATAGCTCATTGTGTCTTCAGTTTAAACTCTTTTTTCTTTATGCATATATTCAATATAAAAATATAATTTATACTAAAAAAAATCAACATATAAACAAATCTCACAAACAATAGTTTCATGGGGTGTGATATCCACACACCCCATTTTACTTCTCATCACACCTTTTGAATTTTCGGACCGTCGGATTGGATGAATTGAAGAAGATCAACGGACATAAATTATCAAGGGATATATGAGAAGTAAAATAAAATGTGTGAATAGCACACCCATAGCTTCATTAGCTCTAGGATAAAGTATTATAAATAAATACAAGTGGCAAATTCATAATTTTTTCTTTTAAAGCCAACATAAACGCATACAATATCTCAATTTTTGTTTAAACATTTTACTTTTATGAGTTTTTCTGACCTTCAAAAAAGTAAATTGTTATAATAAAACCACCGACTAATCTTTTTATTAAAAAAAAAACTAGCAGTAAATAAATATGCAATAATACAATATCACGTGAATCACATTAAAAGTGAAATTTCGAACAATAATAATGTCTTCCAATTTGCCATAATTAGTGGGCCCAGTACGTGCCCTTTTCTAGCTCTAAGATCAGAAACTTCCAATAAAATTCAAATCCAGAAATAATAGCATAGTGACAAGTCATCACAGGATAGTCCAACACACACTTAGAAATTACACAATAATTTTCTCCGTCAACTATATTAGTGCTCGTGAGTATTCTTATTTGAATTCACTTTATATATTATTTGAATTTACTCTCGGTATTATCAATTAATTTTAATATTTAATTCATCTATTAGTTTAATGAGTTTTAATGAATTGTTGATTTAGAGTTTTAACAATTTAAGCAAGCGTTGTACAAAGAAGAAGTCCCTTGCTAGTTGGTAGGGGCTCTAATCTCATAGGCAATTAGATTAAGAGCTAGTTGCAACTTGAAATGGCTCTCTTTTCCCTCCTGATTAGGACAACAATCAAGTAATTAATTAAGCTACATTCTAGACATGGAGAAATTAAGTGTGCTGAAAATACAACACGTTATACCAAGTTTTATAATACAAGTGGTTAAATTTTTTTTGTTTCAATGTCTAACCACTTATATTATAATATTTAATGTATATTTTCCACACACTGAAAAATCCATATTGTATATAAATATGTGTCACATTTTTCACGTGATTGCACAAAAACAATTTTCTTGTTATTTTTTAAGTCTATTCAAACGTGACAACCCCAATGATTTTACAGATACATGCATCGTGCATGTACTATCATGATAAGTTAATATATATTATTTTTTTATATACATATAGAATGCCGCGAATATGGATTGAGACCTCAAACGTCCCATCCACTTTTTAGGTGTTCAGTAATTTTGTGCATCAACTTCAGTGATCTAGCTTCAACCACCACGCACTTAGCGAAATTTGGCTCCATTTGATTACAAGATTTCTAAAATTATAAACAAAGATATAACTCATGGTGTCTCCAGTTTAAACTCTTTTATCTCTCTACATATATTCAATATAAATATATAATTTATACTAAAAAATCAATATATTAACAAATATCACAAACAATAGCTTCATTAGCTCCAGGATAAAGTATTATAAACAAATACTAATGGCAAATTCATAATTTTTTCTCTTAAAGCCAAAATAAACGCATATAATATCTCAATTTTTGTTTAAACATTTTACTTTTGTGAGTTTTTCTAGCTCTCAAAAAAGTAAATTGTTATAATAAAACCATCAACTAATTATTTTATTAAAAAATACTAACGTAAATAAATATGCAATAATAATATATCGCATGAATCACATTAAAAATGAAATTTTAAACAATAATAATGTCTTCCAATTTACCATAATTAGTGGGCCCAATACTTGCCCTTTTCTAGCTCTAGAGCAGAAACTTCCAATAAAATTCAAATCCAGAAATAATAGCAAAGTGACAAGTCATCAAAGGATAGTCCAACAAACTCACAAAACACCTTAACCATTGGTTTTGGTTTATTTTATAACAAACGATATTATATACATTAAAGGGAGAGGTAGATGCTAAATCTCACAATAGACTAGTAATAATATAGTTCAAATTCGTCTTTGGCGAAAATCAAATTTAAAATATCTCACTTACAAGTGAAAAAGAATATCATTAGACCGTAGTACTAAGTGGTATTGGTTTTGATTTTCTTTTAACAACAAGAAAAGAAAAGGCTTGTACCATATTTTGGCTGTAATTTTTATTATTAGTATGCAAACCGTCTCCTAATTATGCATCGTCCACCTCATTTTTATTTACGCATCAAACCAACTTCCACAACTAATCCAATTTTAATATTACCTGTAACAATATTTTTTACTGAAGAAATATTTAAAATTATGAGTGCGCTGAATATCTATATGTACAAAACCAGAAGTACAAAAGAGTGAATCATTTATAATTTCAAAATTACCCACTTCTAATTAAGATTTTAGAATAAATTAATTTAATTTTAACAAAATTCTAAACAAATAGTGTCACATCCTGCCCGGATGTGTGCTGACGAGGACATCGGGCTTCTAAGGGGGGTGGATTGTTAGATCCCACATCGCCCATGAGAGTGGATCCTCTAGGCCTTATGTGTATATTCTCATCTCTACCTAGCACGATGCTTTTTGGAAGCTCACTGGTAAAAATAGAACAAAACTACCCACCTATAAAAATATTTTAAAATTTACAATACATATAAAGTCCGAGGCAAATAAAATGAATCACTCGTAATTTCAAAATTACACATTTCTAATTAAATTTAAAGTAAACTAATTTAATTTCAAGGAAAACTAATGAAAATGGTTTGAAAACTTTAAGTTTTAATGATAAAGACAAAATAAAAGGTAAAGTGAATAGTAAACTTTTTAGTGTAAAAATATGATGTTAAGGTAAACAGTAACGTGAATTTTTTATTAAAATTCCCTCTATTTTAAGGGAATTCCAAACCAATGGAATAGAACAAAACTGTCCACCGATAAAAAGTTGTAATTAAGTAAAGAACAAAATATAAACTAGCTAATTGCCCAAGCGAAAGAAGAGTAAGCTGTAAAATACGAAGGCGGTTGTTTGCGGGAGAGGATAAGGTCCCACGTCACCTGGGTCCCGCGCGCTCATCATCACTGGCTGCTACTCCACTCCAATCCATATCGCATTCGCCACGTGCTCACAGCTTACGTGTCGCCCTATCCCAAACGACCTCCGTTGTATTTTTATTTTTTGCTTTTTCCGGATAGCCTCCGCATTAAGCTGACTTTCTCTCTCTTTCTTTCTTTTCTCTCTCTTATTTTCTTCCAATCCAAACAGCCGGTTTTCCGAGGAAATAAAAGGGAAAGGGCGAGGAAAGAAAATCCGGCTTCCTATCTCAGAGATTTTGATAGAAGAAAGAAAGAAACAAACATCCGCCTCTCAAAACTCACCACTTGGATTTTAAATTAGTGAAAATATGACTTTAGCCTTTCAAACTCAATTTTCTTTATATAAAACCCTACCTAACTTTTTTACTCAAAGAAAACCCAATGACTAGGATCCACATAAGCAAATTCATTAACTTCGTATTAATTCACACATTTTACATTTTTCACATGCCTAAAATACCCTATTACATACTTGATGTAGACAATTAATTGTAAGAAAATAGTAAATGATTTTGCAACAAGAAAAAAAAACGACATTAATGTTAAAAATTTATTGCATATTAATTTTTTAGAAAGGTATTGAATTTTCATAAAACTATTCGATTCAGTTTTTTCACCCTACTCTTGAATACTTTTGAATTTATCCTTTTTTTATTAATATATTAGAACATTGTATTTCATTATCTACATGCACATTAATTTACCTACGAACAATTATACCATGGGTGTAATTCGATGTATATTAAGAAGAAATGTAGTTCGATGTATATTAAAAAGAAGAAATAATTTACCTATATTAAGAAGAAATGTAGTTCGATGTATAGTATTAAAAATACTATGTTACACCCATGTTTATACAACAATAAAACGTGCCTAACATATCTAACAATACATGAAAACTAATTTACCTACAAGTGAGAGAAATGTTATTTGGTTGCTTGTAGTATAAATTTTTTCAATAATTGGAAAAATTAAATATAGCTAGGTGTAGTGTAATTTTTTTTTATATAATTAAAACAAATTAATTTACCTACCTACTCTTTGAAATGTTCATTTCCAATGATGCAAAATGTTCATTACCTAACTACAAATTAATTTCCAATAATTTACCTACAACAATTATACCATGGGTGTAATGTAACATCTTTCTTTACAATGATACAAAATATTGTATGTAACAACAACAAAACTTGCCTAACATAAGTACTTGTACATGGAAAATAATTTACCTATAACAAAAGAAATGCAGTTTGATGTATAAAATCAACAATATTATGTTCCACTTATGTTTATACAACAACAAAACGTGTCTAACATATATAACAATACATAGAAAATAATTTACCTACAAGTTAGAGGAATGTTATTTGATTCAAAATATATAATATAGGTGTAGTATTTTTTTTTTTAAATAATTGGAACAAACTAATTTACCTACCAATTAATATGGATAAAATTGCTACAAAATATATCACGAAAAAAAAAACTACTTTTCTAGTTTGACATAGATACGGTTAATGCAAACACTTTTTTCATTTTATTTCACTTTTTCTACTACTTTTAATTTGGCATAAATTTAGGAATTTGGAAAAATGGCATGAGTAAAGATTTAATAGGGATAGTTCAAACGAAAGGGCTTAAACTGATCTTAAAAAGTTTTTAAATTATTACAAAAGCACCTCAATCCAGAAGACAAAGAACCCTCTCCAATCCAATCCCACTTCTTTATCCGATTGCCTCGATTATAGCAAAATTTCGCCGAAATTTCGATTTGGATTTCTCAGGAATTTGGGTTCTTAAGAATTGTTGACCTCAGACCTCAATTTTCCTAATTTTCCCGAGAAAATAAGATAGAAAGATGATGCGGAGGCAGCAGCAGCAGCAACAAGACCAGCAATCCAGGGTTTTCTACGAGCTGTCGGCTCTTGTTCTCAACCTCCTCCGATCTCCTCCCACGCCGATTCAATTCTCCGATAACTCCACGGTGGTGATGCCCCCGACTACGTCTGCGTCGTCGTTGAGGCGGCCGGCGGCGGCGTCGATGGCGCAGATCTCGCCGGCGGGATTCGCGTCGTTGATGCTGGGGATTTCGATGGCTCTGATGCTGTGCGGAACGGTGACTTTCTTCATTGGGTTCATATTGATGCCGTGGGTGCTGGGATTGGTGATGGTGTTGTACGTGGCGGGGATCCTGTCGAGCCTCTCCGTCTTGGGGAAGTCGATTCTTTGCTACGCTTCCGCCCCGTCGACGCCGCGGAAGGACATTCCTGGTAAATTTTATGCCTTTTTTACTTTAGCTCTGAGCGTTTAATGTTTGTTTTTGTCTTTTGTTGGATTAATAATAATCTGCTTCTGTTTTCCTTTACATGGTTTATGTCTCTCGTTGTTGTTCTTGTTGTTGTCTGAAATATTGGTATCAAATTTGTATGGTTTTCGTTTTGTATGCTATCATTTGTTTCCATCTGCTAAATATATTGATTTGGAAGATTATATATTCTTTATGTAGAACTAGAAGGGGGTAATATTTGGAAACGTGTTGATTTAATTTTGGTGTTAAAATGTAATGACTTTGGTCGGAATTCGATTATCGCGTGATTTGGGAAGGATTATAGAACCAGGTAGAAATTTAATCTCAAACCATTTGGTCTGTTAGAGCACGGAGCCGTGTTCTGCATATGCATTAGTATTTGGCTTTACCCTCGGCCCCTCATCTGTATATCAAATTTCGCTTTGATTGCTGTCGCGGTTGTGTCAAATTTCCAACCTTGATCCACCATATAAAACGTCTCTTCTGTGTAAACGATCATTGATGAAAAATTACTAAATTTCGTTTGTCCTCTTTGATTCAAAAAATGATCTTTGAATATGAAAACGCCGTGAAGAAAATTGAGTTGCTTTATCTATTGGTATCCGAGGAATACTTTAGGTTTTCTAAATTTCCAATCTGTTAATTTGGTAGTCCTACAATCTTGTTGTTCCTGGATCAGAAACGCCGTGAAGAGAATTTAAGATAGAACTGTTCACGAAGAGTTTTGGCTTGTTGACATTGAATGTAGATATAGAAAATGATAAATGAAGCATATTTAGTTGGGTTTATTTTATATTTGATAATTAAGGAGGTTTTCTGGGAAGGTAAGGCCTGTGATTACATGTTTGACATTTGTTTGTTTTTTGGGTCATCGTCCCTGCTCTTTCCCCGTCCATTCTATATGAACTGGAAATATTATCTGCTGCCTTGGTTGGTACTTCTCTGGAAGATTGTTAGTAATTCTGTATAAATTTTCTATTGGTGCAGCATGGAAGCTGTTGTGAAGGAGAGGGAGGAGGTGGTTCAAGAGAGTTGAAATGTCGTACGGAAGGACGGAGCAGCAGCACAGATGATGTTCTTGTGAGAGTGGTGCTGTATATAGGGAAGGGAATGTTGTATAGGCAGCTGAGGCCGTAAATTAAATCGAGAGCTTCTTGAAGTAATTGATGCATGAACAGTGGATAAATGTTTTATTAATACTCTACTGCATATGTGGAAATGGCTTCTAAAATAGTGAATTGTTGAAGGATGATGATGATGATAATTCTAAGTAGTTGCATCCAATGAAATTCCTAGTTGGGAGGAGACAGCGGGGGAAGTCGCTTAGCCTCTTCGTTGTTCTGATCTCTCTGTTTTTCAGTACATATACATCTCAATATATCTCTTGTTCTCAAATCTGTAAAAGTTTATAGCTCAGCTCACATCTATTCGTTTTCTGGTTTTTCTTAGTAAGAAATGGAGTAACAGATGATCTTTCACATTGTCTTTTTGGGTGCATATTTGCGTGTTGGGACTGCTTTGTCGTTGTATTTTTGGTCGATCAATGGGAGTGGTTTGTCAACGACAAGGTTGCTTCTTGGTTGTGACTTTGTGGGGGGCAGGGGAGGGATGGCAATTGTGTTTGGGGAATTTAAGGGCATCGCCTTAAATGTACGCAACGCAATCCATCCGGTTGGAGATGAAGGAGGCACGGGATGGGGACCGAATCGTTCCCATAACGAATTTATTTGGTCAGCTGTCGTTTTATTAGCCTTTTCGGTAATGTAGATGAGAGAAATTTAATGGCGTGTGTATTGTTGCAAAGGCAGGTTTCGTGTCAATGATACAACGTAGTACTAAATTTATTTTTACTTGGTACTGTATCAATTTTACAGGACGTTATAGTTATTATGTACTTGTGTCATGTAAGTTTTTTAAAAAACTGAAAGAGGTTGACTGCTGCAATTTATTTTCTTTTTAAGTTGGTCCGGTAGTTTAGTCTATTTCCATTAGTTGCCCGGTGGGAGCGAGAGGCTTGGTATATTTGTTTTGTATGGTTTAGGATCGTTTTATGTCAATTTTTGAGAAAATCTCTCTCATCTCCAGTTACTCGAAATGTCTAAAATACTCCCAGGTATTAGGAGGAAAACGGTGAAGGGGCCATGAAGTTGATGAACGAGAGGAGATGCACACAAGTAGAAATTGATTGAACGAATGATTGAATGAACAAGTCAGTAGGAGTGCATTAAAATGGAAGCGATACAAGTGTACAAGTTACAACGAAGGAAGCTTGTGAAGATGTCAAAAGCCCAAAGGAAAATGATATCAAACTGCCAAGTGTTCTAAAACCGGCAATGGGGTGGTTTTGTCTAGATCTCATTGGCATGGGTCAATCGACTCAGTTCAGCTTGAAAGCAAGCAGGGAAAGGGGCAAATAGTGCTTCACACGCTGGAATATAATTTCGTTTTCTTGATTACATAGTGATTAAGAATTTATAATCATTCAGTTTTAAATTTGATATCAATGCAAAACATTAGAAGCATATACATACATTAATTCTGATTTTTAATATCAAATTTAAAAATAAATGATTATTTATTCATTCGTCATGTAACTATAAAAAATAATCTCTTTTTTGGGCCTACAGTTTTAAAAATTACAGTTTAAGAAATGAGCAAAACATTTTCTTTTGTGATTTTAACGAGTTACTTTGTATATTTGTCATCATGTTATAATTCATAAATAACAAAGAATGACTCTTTAAATGTAAAAAACCAATAACGTTGAACGAAAATTGGAAAATACAAGAAACTCCACACATAAAAAAGAAGTCGAGAGAAGTACATGCTTTCCCCAGGTTAAGAAACACATCCTCACCAATTTTTTTTATCGATCATAAGGAAAAACTTAGAAAATCTAACAGTCCTGCTCAAATTCAAAACAAACAATCTGAACAGGGTTTCAAATAAATTGCCTAACATGCATATTGAAATTAAAAGATATGATAAGCAAATCTCTAAAAAGGAAATTAAGGTAATGGTCATCCAGTGTAGATATGAACACCAATAGCGATGAGGAAGATGGTGAGGAGGCCGAAGAAGATGATGGTGTGCACGAGGATCGATATCCCGCTCGTATGCATGTTCCCAAACTCCACCACCCTGCCCTTCCCCGGCAGTTGGAACAGCAGCCCCGGACTCAGCAGCACGAACAGCACCACCGCTATCACCACGGGCCCCCAATCCGCCATTCTTCACGATATCTGAGATGATCTTCCTGCTGTTTTTTTACTTGTTTGTGTCTAAGTGGAGACCGTCACAAAGAGTTCACCTGTGTGGTATAAAAGGGAAGAAGAAGAAGAAGAGAATCAAAGAGTGTTAGTAACTAAGCAACGGAAGAAAGGAATCAATGTTGAAAAGGAGGAGCATCAGTGTTGATTGTGGATCAAGAAATCTTCTGCCACCTCCTTATATATATATATATATATATATATATATATGAAAATGTTTAATAAGAGCCCTACTTTTTATTATAACTTGTTTATTGTTTATCATCGTATTTGGATTAGAATGGTCGGTGCCTTGTGGAGGATGCTAATTAGACGCATGGAAAAGCAGCAACGTCATGAGGGAAACCCTTTAAACAGCTGTTATTTAATGCTCATTCTGCTTACTCCTTTTTAATCTTGATGGACGATGACACCATAGTCAATTCAAGTTTAATATGTTTTGCAACGGACCATTGTGACCCATGCGTCCATACTATATGATGAACATATATCTAAGTCTTATATGTTCAAAACCAACAGGTCATTACACATATGCTCTGTCTGACGGAACTTCGTTTTGATTACACCTTTAATTAGTTCCACAAAATGTAATAAAACCAATTGCATTTTCACCACAGGGGTTTAATTTAGAAAAATACCAACAAAATGAACAAAAGAAGTCATAAAGCCTATTTTTGGGAAACGTTTGCTATAAGCGATGAAACTTAAGGCTATTATAAAACAATTGAGACCCGCTCGTTTTAATTAAAACCACATTGACCGTAGATTAGTATTTTCAGCTTGTATTCCTTAGTTCAGATTAATTCTGTCCATCCAAATAAGTGAAAAAATTCTACTTCGGCCCTCAGCATTCACATTGACCTTATATTCTTCTTACTAAACATCCGTTGTGCTGCTATATATACTTGCAGTTGATGGAAGTATCAGCTGGCCGGTTGCAGTATTACATGGACCACATCCACTATTTCGTTTAAGGCTGCTTTATTCATGACCATGAATGAGAAAGATTTTTCGGTTTGTCTACGTTATATGTTATTATACAAGTGAAGGATATTTAATAAAATTTTTTTTCCTCAACTTACATAATAACATATGGCGTACTGTGACATCCCACATCGCCCAGGGGAGTGATCCTTAAATGTATATTTTCATCCCTACCTAGCACGAGGCCTTTTGGGAGCTCACTGGCTTCGGGTTCCGTAGGAACTCCGAAGTTAAGCGAGAAGGGGGCTAGAGCAATCCCATGATGGGTGACCCACTGGGAAGTTGCTCGTGAGTTCCCAAAAACAAAACCGTGAGGGAATGGTAAGCCCAAAGCGGACAATATCGTGCTACGGTGGTGGAGCGGGCCCGGGAAGTCGTCCCGCCCGGGCCGGGATGTGACAATTTGGTATCAGAGCCTAACCCTGGTCGTGGTGTGCCGACGAGGACGTCGGGCCCCTAAGGGGGGTGGATTGTGACATCCCACATCGCCCAAGGGAGTGATCCTTAAATGTATATTCTCATCCCTACCTAGCACGAGGCCTTTTGGGAGCTCACTGGCTTCGGGTTCCGTAGGAACTCCGAAGTTAAGCGAGAAGGGGGTTAGAGCAATCCCATGATGGGTGACCCACTGAGAAGTTGCTCGTGAGTTCCCAAAAACAAAACCGTGAGGGAATGGTAAGCCCAAAGCGGACAATATCGTGCTACGGTGGTGGAGCGGGCCCGGGAAGTCGTCCCGCCCGGGCCGGGATGTGACACGTACTGTCCCGTGTTCTGGTATTGAAAAATCTCTCTAGTGAGAGAGAGCTAAGTCAATCAGAAATAAAAGTATGAAACAGGCACATCGAAATTAAAACTTCAACCGTCCAATATTTTACAATTGAAAAACGTTAGGGAGACCACATTTAAACCATCTATCTAATAGAGGTGAGACCTACTTGTATTTTGAACCCCTACTTCATTAGAGAAATGATTTAAATGTAGTATCCCTAATATCACCCGTTACCATTATTTTAATTTCACAACCAAAAACACAACAAAAATAATACAAACCAACATCAATTAAATTATAATCAAGTCCAAACTTATTATTACTAGATAATCCGATAACATTGTAATCGAAGGTTTCAAATGAAGCAACAATAATATTGATGAAACAAAAGTTGATCACATATTGTTCACTAATGGTGTCCCTTTTTACCTCAATCAGTAACGCAGGAGGTGGAGCAACACAAGAGTTTTAGTTAACCGAGATAAAAATGGACCTTGATGGCCAACAAGAAGACGCAAATGAGACCAAAGTAGAGGAGGGAGTGAACCATGATGGCTGCACCACTTGTGTGGAAGCTGCCAAACTCCACACAGCGATGGCGGCCGGGCAGCTGGAACAGTAAGCCCGGAGATAACAAAACGAACAGCACCACTGCCACGCAAACCGGGCCCCAATCCAACATCCTTAAGCTCACTGTATTTGTACTACTGATTTAGAGTTCTCGCAAAGATCATTTGCATGCGGAATAAGGAATCGAGGAAGTATCGGTTGGTAATAATAATAGTAATGCTCCAGTGAGAGTTATGGTAGGACTGGATTTGGGGTTGTATATATATATCGAGAAGACTTTGATGGGAAGGAAACACTGACTGACTGACTGACTGAAACACGATAAAGGGAGAGAGGAGAGTTTGTGGGGCGGAGGGTTGGGGAAACAAGTCACTTGGATTCACTCCCGCCGTCCCATTAAGATCTCTCTCTGTGTTTTTGCTTGCATGTGACAACGAATAAGAGCCAGAGGTTGCTTGTTAGGCTTCTTTCTCATTAATTTAGGGTAATGCTAATAAGACTAAATTTAGATACAAAATTGCAAACTAATTAAATAATATGTCACTAATAGAAATAAGCGCATTTATTAACGCTTAAATAATAATCAAATCATTAACTTCTATGTCATTTAGTTTACAATATTTAGTTTCTAAATTTAGTCTCCAGGGTAATGCTAGGGAGACTAAATCCTGGAGACTAAATTTACAAATTAAATGATGTGTCACCAATATGAATAAACACGTTTATCAACGCTTAAGTAATAAACCAATCATCAACTTCCATGTCCTTTAGTTTTCAAAATTTTGTTTCCCTAGAATTACCCTAACATTAATCTTCATGATGGCCCATCACAAATACTTATGTATATATTTTGTCCACCAACTTATTTCATTAAAAATAAAACACACCAATAAAAAGTGAGACAAGCCTGAAAACAATCCACAACACTAAAGTAAGAGTGCAGCTCATTACAAAAGTAAAATAAGAAAATAAGCCCCAAAAGTGAGCTCATAACATTGCCTGAGTCGAAAACCCTAGATTGGGAAACGAGAACCAGTCTCCTCCACCAAAATAGTCACACCACCATCGCCAAGCTGCCGACACCAGAAAGGCAGGAAGAAGAGCTAACAAACCGAAAGGATGAACAGAAAATAAGGATGGACAAGCCACTTGCTCTAAAAAGCGCTCCCATAATCCTACAAAATGGTGCAAATTGCACTTTAGCAGCTACTGAAACCCAAGGCACGGCTCCAACCGAAGTCCATGGAGGAGGAATTCAAGGAGCTAAAAAGCCGAACCAGGTGGGCAATAGCTCGCAGCTAAGAACAACAATTTGGAAAGAAAAAGGCATGAAACTTTGATTTGTGACAAGGTTTGTCAACAATTGAGACAAAACTCAAGGAAATTGAGGCAAAACTCAAAAACACTGAGACAAGTTCAGAGCAAAACTACCAGAAATCAAGGGCCAAAGAAAAATAAAAGGAAGAAGATGGAGGTTAAGGAAAAAGAAGAATGGGATTAGAAGGAGATTGGGTTGCCATCGACTCCACCCAAGAGAAAGGGCCCGCTGCTGAATGTAAAATTGGGTTTGGGAGATCTTGACTTTGGGAGAGAGGGAGTGGCGCTAGGGTCTTGACTTTACACACACACACACATACGTGTGTGTGTAGCGATATTAGAGGAGGGACTTGAGACATGGAGTGCTGCATTGTCATATGAATTTCAAGTCATTTACATCACAAATAAGTAGTAAATCAGATATTTTAAATTCGATTCCCGTATATGATAATTTTAATATCTATTTGCTTAACCTAGCTAATTTCCCTCCTTAGAGTAGAGTGACAACACAAAACCACGGCTACAAAATGTACTACGGCCTGAAAAATATTAAAATATATACTAATTAAGCTTGCTAATTAGTTTATTGTGAAGTGTAGAGTAGAGTTAGTTGTTTTAAATATTCGATTATACTATGGCCTCCTATTTCATTTCCCCTCCTAAGAAAACAAAATATAACACAAAACCACGGCTACAATCAAAACTAAAATGATCAACATTAAAGGTTGAAAGAGAAGTCCGTCACAATCCGTTATCGCGCACACAAAATGATTGCAGAGTAACCAACAAAAAGCAATCCATATGTTGTGAAATTTGCGTTTCTAAAGATGAGCTTGAATAGTCACTTAGAATTACAGTTTAATGATATTTTTCTCACTTGCAAAAAGTCTTGTATTTAAATATGATAAATGAAGAGTTTAGATCTAAAATATATGGTTGTGCGATAAAAGGATGCGGTTGAAGAGCATATTCATTAATGAAATAGGAAAATGGCGAACGTCACGAATGATTGTACCAAATATGCCAACAAATGGTATATAAACCCAATTTGCCGAATGAGATCTACACTAAATTCACCTACATTAAGAGGAATTCGAATACGGAATCTTGAATGTCATTCGTTTCTGTTTATTATGTAATTTATGCATTAATTACACAAAACTATCTAAATATGAGTCACGCCACAATTTCATACTTCTTATTTTAAACATTGCAATATCATACCTCATTTTATGAATTTGTTTCACTGTCATACCTCTGTCAGCTTTTCTATTAAATGTTATCGTATCAAACATGTGGCTACTTCTTGCCCAACTAGAATTCCAAGCTGACTTTATTAACCACGTGGGCCATCCCATTGATTGACAAGTAGAATTAAGAACAAATTTAAAAAGAAATCTGAAAAACCAAAAAAAAAAAAAAAAAAAAAAAAAAAATTAAGGGCCCTTTTGGTATCCTAGCCAAAAACTTTTATTGTTCCTAAAAATAATTTTCAAATAACATCACTTAAAAACAGTTTTCTTTTAAATCTCAAAATTTCAAAAACCTATGTTTGGTTGAGATTTTAAAAATAATTTTTTTTAGTTTGAATTCAAAATAAGGAAAACTAATGAAAAGAGATTGAAAACCTTAATCAAAAGTACAAAAATGTTTTGTAAATGAATAGTAACAGGAGTGACTTTTTAGAGTAAAATGTCATTTTTTATTAAAGTGAACAGTACCAGGAGTCTTTCGTTAAAACTCTCTTAAAACTACCTTGATTAGAAATTGGAGGAGAGAAGAAATAGTTGGCGAGGAGAGAGAAAGGCAGGGAGAGGGCGAGGAGGTGAGGGAGAGAGTAAAAAAATACGGTGAGAAGGTGAGGAGTGAGAAGAAAGAGAGAGTGATGAGACAAAGGCTGAGGAGAGAGAGAGAGAAGACAGGGTGTGACGTGGGGAGAGAGGAAAGAGAGGGTCAAGAGAGAAAAAAGAAAGGGTTAGGAGAGAGCAATAAAAAGATGTTGAGGAGAAAGTAGAAAAAAACTCTAAAAACTCACTTTTAGTGTTTTTAAGAAATAGCTTATTTTTTAAGTTAGTTTTTGAATCCAATTTTAAAAAAGAGTCATACCCAACAAGAATTCAACGTCTAAAACTCAAAAAGTGTTTTTTAGTTAAAAAAGTTAAACTTAAGTAGGATATCAAACAAGCTCTAAAAAATTAAACTTTGGTTGTTTGCACCCCCACCACCGTCTAGAGAACCCGACCCTAATTTCTCCTTTTTCTCCCTCTCCTACGATCTCCTCTTTTTAGATCTCTTTGTCTAGTTTAATTCGTAAGATTTAAAATTTTTACATAGCAAACCAATCAAGTTTTTGAGTCTTAAAGAAATTTTTTTCAAGAAATGTTTTGAGAAATGATAAAAAATTTCAAATGGGATATCAACACAGGCCCTGAATTTTCTACAAAATTTGGGGTAGTTTAATACCGGTAGATAGGAAATTAGGGATTTGAAAATGGTGACCCCCAAATCTGGAGGTGTAGAGGGGTGCCTGCAATTTTTGTAGCAACCAACCGTCAGTTCTCTACCGTCGAGCAGACTCCGCCAAGCTTTGCTTGTTCAGCGACCAACACGTGCACTCCCCTAACTTGTTCTTTCGAAGCATGTGAGCTCTCAGATCTCTTAATATTGTGTCTCCAAGGTCGTCGTTGTCCGTTGCTCTATCGACAACCTCGTTCTCTGCCAGAAATGTGAACGGGATGGGATGCCCACAATGGCAGCTCTGTCTCCCATCTCGTTCTCTACCAGCTCGACCCGACCCGCAGCTCCAAAACTGGAATATGGGTTTGCCGTCCATGGATTTGTCCTTGGGATGGGTTTGGGCTGCAGGATCTGATGGTGCCCAATCGTAACCAGAACGAGAGGGAGAGAGTTTCTTTTTGTTTAATTAATTTTAATTTTGTGTAGACAAAAAAAAAACATTTATTAATATTTAACTAATTTTTAATTCAGAGAGTGGGCCACACGCTTGTCATATCATCACTTAACAATTAAATTGACAGAAAATTTTACGAAGGTTTGACATTGCAACAAATTTATAAGATAAGGTATGATATTGTAATGTTTAAAACATGAGGTACAAGATTATAGTGCGATCCATAATTAAGATAGTTTTATACAATTTATTCATAAATGTTCCTAATCAGCTGAGAGATTCGTTTTTGTATTTATGTTTTCTTATTGCATTGGGAAGACATGGACCAAATTCATACGGCCAAGTCCAATTTTCATCATTGGAAGTTGGGGTTGATTATTACTGGGCTAATCGCCAAGAGTCCCTTTTTGGGCCTTTCCACGTTTTTAGCCTTTGGATAAGGGATGGTTATGTTTACACCCAAACATTACGTAGCATAATTGAATTTTCCTAAACAGCTTCTCATTTTTGGCGTGTCACAAAAGCTTGTCTGTAACTGTTTTGAGAATGACAAGACTCAAGGCTTGTCTGTAGGTGTTTTGAGAATGACAAGAGGCTTTTAAGAAAACTATTTTTGGGCTACAAATGTATATGAAGTGGGTACTTCTTGTAATAAACACTTCAAGTGTGTCATTTTAAAAGCACTTCAAATTGAGTTATAAACTTCTTTTTTTTTTTGTGTGTAATACATCGCTATTTTTAACTAAGAGGGAGGGGAAGTTCGGTTAAACAACACAATGGATAACTTAATTTGATATCGAATTCGCCATTCACGAGATTCGAACCTAAAACCTCTTACTTTTTAGTAAAAATAAATACTACCAGACCGTAGCATTGAATAACAATCGAGTTTTAAACTTCATCTTAATACTGTTGCATGTATTCCTGTAGCTCTGGGTTGCATCTGTGATTCTGTGGCTGTGGGGATATCGGATCTTGGATATTTCCATCCAAACAAGGAATCTAACGGCACTCGGCACCTGTCCCACGTTTTCTATTTTATTATTATTTAAACAATATTGTGGTCAGCTAAAATTGCAGGCTTCAAAATGACCACAATACCCTCCGGGCAGCTAGAACGTTTGGCGCCTCCACCGACCCGTATTTTCTTCCTCTGCTTCGCGGCCGGTGCAGACCTCAGCACTCATGAGCGTACCGTGAAGCTTCCAACTTTGCATCAATCAATCAATCATTGCCAATCTTGCGCCAGCCCATCGGGACGCGACGCTTCCTAGCCACCGGGCGCAGGAGATAATTCGCTCCTGCTTACGGTTGACTTGCAACCCTTTGTCCTCTCTATCGACCTCCTCGAAGTCTTTTCTTTTATTTTTTTTTGAAGACCTCGAAGTCTTTGGTCGTGCTCTCTGTCGGTTATTTTCTACAAGGCCAACGGTACTCTGCTCACCTGAGATCCGGTTCACGACCGAGATTCCGGTCTCTCCGCCTCCAAACTTCGGCTCTCGAATTTGCTCCGTCGACCGCCTCCGGTTCAAATGCCCGCAAGTAAACCGCTTTCTCTGCAGTTAGTCAATTTTTTATTTTTCGGTAGCTGAGCACGATGCAATCAGGTACGTAGGCCACTGAGCTTGTTCGCAAATACCCAGAAACAAAAAACTAAACTACAATTTTTATAATTTTTATCGAATTTTGAGTACGAAAATGCTAGATCATGTAAAAGATCGAAAATTTTCTGATCCCCTTCGTGTTTATTTGGGTTCTAATCAGGGACATTTGGTTCTGCTTGCAGTTTGTTTAAAGTTTTCTTATGCATCAAAATTTGAACTTTTTGTTGGTGAATTTCTCCCTGCATGAAGTAATTCCAACGTTATGCGACCGTGATTGATTTATCTCTGATTTGTTAATCTATTTTATAACAATTTTAAGTCTTTCCTGCTGCAAACAACAATTTCATAACAATATCAGTGATCTCAAATTTGTATTTGTCTTGTCAATTGAAAACTGTTTGATATTTTCTATGTCATTTGATGTCTCAGGATATAACATAAATGATCTGTTTCAAGAAGCGCAAACCCGTTGGCTGAAGCCAGCTGAAGTGCTCTTCATATTGCAGAACCATGAAAAGTACAAGATCGCACCCCAACCCCCGCAACAGCCTAGTAGTATGTCTCCTGTTTGCTCTTCTTATTGTATTGTAATGTCATGGCTTATTGGCATTGTTGCTTCCACTAGATTTGGAATCCCATTTATTCTTACGTCTTTTTCTTTTGGATTTTGCGACAGGTGGATCTTTATTCCTTTTTAACAAGAGGATCCTTCGTTTCTTTCGTAGAGACGGGCACAATTGGCGTAAAAAGAAGGATGGAAGAACCGTAGGTGAAGCACATGAGCGACTTAAGGTTCGTTAAAGCAATCTATTCAGTTACATTGAAGCTTTCTTTTGTGAAAAGGTCTGTCCTTATAACACATGACAGTTATTTGTTTTCTCGGGTATTTATAAAATGATAAACTTTATCTGTTTGAAATCTTTGGATGGTTCAGCGTTCCGATGGAAATAGTTTTCTAGTCTGCAAAACTTCGTGCTTAATTTTGCTCTGTTTGTATTGTTGCACTAAGCTAATGTTGTTTGTACTACTGAGGCCAGTGTAGTCCTATATTTCAGCTTGAGTAACCAAGTTTTGTATGCATAGGTTGGAAATGTTGAAACGTTAAATTGTTATTACGCACATGGAGAGGACAACCCAAGTTTTCAAAGACGTAGCTATTGGATGCTAGATCCGTGAGTACCCTTGCAATTATTGTCGAGTGCATTTCCCTGAAGAGATATATTTCACAAATTAGAATTTCTTTGGCAGGGCATATGAGCATATTGTACTTGTGCATTATAGAGAAACTAATGAGGTGAGTCTTCAGAACCTGATTATAAACCAGGCATATCTCACTACTCCTTTTCACATGAATTCGCTCTCTCTCCCTCTCCTCACCACCCCTTTCCCACCGGGTTGTGTTAATTTTTTATACAATGATGCATTTCAGGGCAATCCGAGTACTGGATCTTTCGTACAATCACCAGTATCTTCTTCCTTTAGCCACAGTCCAAGCTCTAATACTACTCCCACAGTTAGTGATTTACATGAACCTAATCAGAATCTATCCAGTCCAGGTTCACTAGAAGTTAGTTCAGATATAGTCAACAAAAATCGAAGGGGGAACCTAGAAAATTTATATGGAATGGGGGAGTTGGATAGTTCGACTAAGTTTGATGTTAATCAAGCTTTGCGACAGCTTGAAGAGCAGTTAAGCTTAAATGAGGACAGCTTTGAAGGATTTATGGACGACAATCCAAATACTTCAGATATCCTGGATTATACTGATATCACCAATAAGGATCAGTTTGCTGCCTTCAATGAACCCAGATATGTTGTGCACGATCAGTTCTACAGTGAACCTGCTCAGATGCAAGGTAATGCAGACTATAGTGGTGAGAACTGTAAAATCATTGACCATGAATTCAGAGATGGAAACAAAGAATCTGCTACTTGGAAAGAGTTTCTGGATCCACGGAAGAATTCATCAGTCCTCAAGTCGGAGGAGAAATCTTTATATACATTGGACAGCAATGTGAGTGTTGCTAAAACCTTTTTTACTGCCCACTGTTATTACACCTTTGCTCGGATGAATTTGCTGATAGCTTTTGGCCACTTTGATTGTCTTTTATGCATACACTGGTCCCTTTTGTCTAAGATGGCAATGACCTTTTTATGTTAGTTGTACCTTTAAGCTACTGAGCCATCAATTCATTGTTTTTTTCCCAATCGAAACAGGAAAACTCGCTGTCTTCCTTGAGGAGTGGACCAACTGCAGTGCAGGAGCATCATCAATGGCTAAATTCCAATGAAAATATTGTTGACGATGGTATGATATCCTTTTCTCGTTATGAAAATTGCTTTAACACTTCATTTAGCGCGTATTGAGTATTTTTCAGACTCTAACAAGCTTCACATGTAACCAGATTCTTTGCCACTGCCTCTAGAAGTTGACAGATCCAAGCTGTATCCGTATGATTTTGTGTCTGGAACACATCCAGACTATTATACACAGTTATTTGAGCAAGGCCAGATAGGATCTCTTGATTCTGATATCAGTTTGACTGTTGCACAAAATCAAAAGTTCACTATTCGGGAAATATCTCCAGAGTGGGGTTATGCCACTGAAGCTACAAAGGTATGATTGTTCTCGGTTTTGTCATACCAGCTAGCAAATACTTTCTACCAGGTGCATCTAATGCTTCAAAACTAAAGTTTGAGTATAGGCCCAGAACTCGATGACCCATTATCCAAGTTATCAATACAAGTGTCTATGAAAGCCCTTTCAAACACCAAATATCCTCAACTCTATAAACTTAACTTGACATTTTAATCTTACATTTTCCAAAGAAAATAAAGAGTTCGTATACTGTTAATTTGGATTTTAAATGCATCCCATCTAAACAGCCAGTCACTGTGATCTTTGTTTTGTTCAGTTGTTATGGTGCTAAGTTTCCAACAGTGCATAACCCACTAGGTTTCAGTTTTCTATTTTATAACAAAGTTCTAACATCATACATTCTCCTTTGGATGTTTTATTTCTTTTCAAATTACTTAAAACCAACTTTGCTAGATGCAGGTCGTCATTATTGGATCTTTTCTGTGTGATCCATCAGAATCTGCATGGACTTGTATGTTTGGTGATATCGAAGTCCCTGCTCAGATCATTCAGGAAGGTGTAATCCGTTGTGAAGCTCCTCCTCACCTTCCTAGGAAGGTGACTGTCTGCATTACTGCTGGAAATCGGGTGTCTTGCAGTGAAGTCAGGGAATTTGATTATCGAGTTAAGAGCAGTAGCTGTACTCACAATAATTCACCTCCACAAGAAGCTGCTAAGAGTGCTGAAGAGCTGTTATTACTAGTCAGATTTGTTCAGTTGCTCATGGATGATTCATCAATACAGAAAAGGGAAAGTGTCGGATCTGAGTCCCTGAGGAAATTGAAAGCTGATGATGATTCATGGAGTAGTATCATTGAAGCCTTGTTACTCGGCAGTGGAAGTTCATCTAGTACCATATATTGGCTTCTGGAAGAGCTACTGAAAGACAAGTTGCAGCAATGGCTTTCTTCCAGATCCCATGAATTTGACCAGAATGGTTGTTCCTTGTCCAAGAAAGAGCAAGTGATAATACACATGGTTGCTGGTTTGGGGTTTGCATGGGCCTTAAACCCGATACTAAATTGTGGAGTCAATATAAACTTCCGCGACATAAATGGATGGACTGCTCTACATTGGACTGCTCGTTTTGGAAGGTAATGAAACTTTCCTTTTCTCTGAGTGTTAGCAAAGGGGTGATGCACATGGGTTGTCATCGGTATTATTAGTTTGGATTTGTTTTTGTTTAAGATTAAGGTTGATTACTAAGCTTAACTTTTGGATTTGTCTAATCTCATAGAGGCTAGCTCTTGTTGTGGATCATTGAAACTTTCTTATTCTTAACAGGGAAAAGATGGCTGCCGTACTTTTAGCTTCTGGTGCATCAGCTGGAGCGGTGACAGATCCCAGTTCCCAAGATCCAGTTGGCAAAACTGCGGCATCTATTGCAGCAACCAATGGGCATAAGGGACTTGCAGGTTATCTTTCAGAGCTGTCACTGACTAGCCATCTGTCATCCCTTATGCTGGAAGAAAGTGAATTTTCCAAAGGTTCAGCTGAGTTTGAAGCAGAATTAACAGTAAACAGCATCTCAAATAGAAGCCTTGAGGGCAGTGAGGATCAGGTGTCACTTAAAAACACCTTGGCTGCAGTCCGGAATGCAGCTCAGGCTGCAGCACGCATACAGTCTGCTTTCCGGGCGCATTCTTTCAGAAAACGGCAACATAAAGAAGCTGGTGTTAGTATAGATGACTATGGTATCAGTTCAGATGACATTCAAGGGCTTTCAGCGTTGTCAAAGCTAACCTTTCGCAATCCGCGTGATTACAATTCAGCTGCAATATCTATTCAAAAGAAATATCGAGGGTACAAAAGCCGAAAAGATTTCCTCACTCTCCGCCAGAAAGTCGTGAAGATACAGGTACCTCACCTTTTGGACTCAGGAATACAATTCATATGCAAAAGAAGTCGTCGTCTTTTTTACCTTTTTCATTTTAACGAAATGCAACACACGCATATAAGTTCAGAATGTTGATGTTTTTCTAGTTAGTAAAATGAATTACTTTTTTCTCTTGGCAGGCGTATGTGCGAGGTTATCAGGTGAGGAAGCACTACAAGGTAATTTGCTGGGCTGTTGGAATTTTGGACAAGGTTGTACTTAGGTGGCGAAGGAAAGGAGTTGGTTTGCGTGGCTTTCGGCAGGAGACAAAGTCGAGAGACAGTGAAGATGAAGATATTCTCAAGGTGTTCCGCAAACAGAAAGTCAATGTAGCCGTTGACGAGGCTGTCTCGCGTGTGCTGTCCATGGTCGAGTCTCCAGAGGCACGCCAGCAATATCATCGTATGCTGACACGGCACCATCAAGCTAAGGTAAGAAAACAAGCAACAAATCGTTGGTGAGGGAACATTCCGTGGACTTGAATTTAGCTAATCGCAGAAGAACATATGTTTCACTTGCAGGCTGAACTAGGAGGCACTAGCGGCGAAGGTGCTGAAGCAGATGCACCAAATTCCGGTGGCAATAACTTGAACGTAGACGACACTGATATGTACCTATTCACATAGAAGCAAGCAGTATCTGATGATTCCAACTTAAGTAACTTTATTTGGTTGATGAAAATCTTGCTGATAAATGGTAGACGTTTTATGGGTTCTGACTTCTGAGTTTGTACATGATGATCCGATCTGACCTGGGTTATGTAAAGGGATGTTTGTTTGATGAATCATGAGCATATGTTTTGAAATATATGTTGTTGATGTAAATGCTCCGACCGACATTTGTCAGTTGTTGATTCGGCCTACGCTCCTCTCTCTTGAGAGGAAAACTTACATGCGTCGGAATAATTCGATGTTAAACTGTTAGCCTATAGTCACTCGAGCCAAATACCTAAACAATACTATCGTGACACGTGTGCATAGTTGTGAGCATTTTTTACTATGAGGTTTAAGACCTTGCGCAATGATGTAGATTAAAGCTTAAAAATTTAATCCAGAGAAATTTAAGCCATAATTTAGAAATTGTTAAATCCCAAGTTGTTACAGAGTGCTTTAGTCTAATTTACTTCTCAGTAAATTTTTTAAAAATAAATTTTACGTAGATTTTCATTATTTATATTTTATGAACTTTTTAATTTATAAATATTTAAATTTTAAAAAACAATAAAAAATTACACAGCATAAATCATTCTTAAACACAATTTCACGCACATATGCACCGCATAAAACATTAAAGTCATGAAAATGAAAATTGGGTTCAACTCATTTGTTAGTTTCAACTATACATAAGTATTTATAGATTTTTTGGATAAAAATTGATTTAAATATTTTATTTAATTGGTTTAGCTGTTAGATTTAATTTTGGATCATTAATTTTTATTGGGTAAATTACATTTTACCCTTTCAGATTTGAAGTCGATTTCAATTCCTTACAACATCTTTAAAACATTTTAATTTCATATATTGACTTATCATTTTATTTCAATTTCATACATCTGTTAGAAAATCCGTTAAGTGATGATATGGTGCTGACATGGCTATCAAATTTGTACCACGTGGTAAAAAAAATAATTTTTTATGTATTTAAAATATTATAATAATTTATCCTATATAAAAATAAAAAACCAAAACAAAACACAAACCTAGAAAACCCATCCCCCCTCCCGACCCACATCCCTTCCCTTCCCTACAACCCCAACCCCCCATCCCACCTCACCCCCACCTCCACCTCCCCCGCAACCCACCCCACCCCATCCCCACCTCTCTCGCAAGTCCCCCACGCGAGTTTGAATTTTTACAGATGGTGGCGCGCGGCGGAGGAGACGATGAGGGGATATAGCGGAGAGGACTGCACGTACTGAAGGGACGATTTTTTTTTCGAGGAGTCGTTCCAAAGCTGCAGTAATTACGTCAGTACGCTAAGGCAGACGCCGGGCTGGTTCTTGGATCAGGTCCTGACTCGGTCGGCAGACAGCACGAAGCTGGTGGAGATGAGGCGCGAAGTCATAACGAGATTAAGAAGACGCTCAACTGATGGGACCTCATTTGGTTTGGACTTGGCGTTGTCATCGGTGCGGGAATATTCATGCTCACCGGACTGGAGGTCAAAAATCACGCGGGCCCTGTCGTCGTGCTGTCGTACGTCTTCTCGGGGGAGGTGGGGGGGTGGTGGGATGGGGGGTTTAGGTTGGGGAAGGGAGGTGGTCGGGGGGATGGGTTTTCTGGGTTTGTGTTATGTTTTATTTATTTTTTTAATAGGGTAAATTATTATAATATTCTAAAAGTATAAAAAAATATTTTTTTTGCGCACAAATTTGGCAGTCACCACTTAATGAATTTTCTAACAGACATATAAAATTGAAATAAAATGATGGATTTGGATCCTAAGGATTAACACACGTGCACCAGTTGATCAAAAATCGTGCGGTCACAATTAAATATTTTTTATATTTTTAAAAGTAAAGTAACCTCGTTTTAAGTAAAAAATATAAAAAAGGCAAAAATTGTGGTCACACGATTTTTTATCAACGGTCCACGTGCGTTAATTCCTAGAGAGGGATCCGGCGAGGATTCAAATCCTAAAATGATAAGTTAATGTATGAAATTAAAATGTTTTAAAGATGTTATAAGAAATTAAAATCAATCCCAAACTAAAAGATAAAATGTAATTTACCCATTTTTATTTTACCGTCAAATTTACTCCTATTCAATTTCGGCCGTTTGATTTAATATAGTTAGGAAAAAAATGGCCAACCTTGATCGAAGAAGAGAGTCGTGGGGCTCGTATCAAGTGGCGAGCGCTGGACCCAGCGGCTGACGCTTTGTCGCGTGGCTTCCGTGAGGCGCCTTAGTGCGCTGCGGGTGGAATCTAGAATTAACGAAAAGGGTTCGAGACTTTGAGTTTTCTCTCTCTCATCTCTCTCTCATCTCTCTCTCCAGGTGAGATATTACAACGTAACCTATGGATTCGAAAGATGAGAACATGGAGCTGATAAATGAGGCAATCAAGAGGCTCTTAGAGGAGAGGAAAAACAGTAAATCCTCCGCCGGCGAGGGCGTTTCCCAAGGTGGTGGTGATGACGATGATGGTGATAAAGATGAGGACCGCCTCCTCCTCCACCGATTGCTCTCCCAGGTCAGATCACCGGCCATCTCAACTAGTTCTCTATCTATTTCCCCTCGTATCGTTTCTTTTCTGATAAGGGAGTAACTTTCATGACACGTTACAATATTACCACGCCAGATGATATCATGATACAATTATTTAAAGCCAAACTTACACATATCATCGTGTCATTTGCGCGCCTCAAATGCATAAACATATTAACGAATTGCCATTGAGACTCCAAAATACTTCAAATTTTTGTCGATTTTCGTTACGATAGGTTGCATGATGAATATTTTGAGGTATTTCAATTCAGTCTCATTTCTATTGACAGTTGGAATCATTAAAAGGCAATGGCGAGCTTCGGAACTCGGAAACTTCAACCAAAACGGAAGAGGAAACGTCCTCTAAAGACGGCGAATTGAAGCCGGAAAATGAGAGTTGTGGCAAAGCAGATGGCGGTGGGGCTGAAATTGATACGGAAAAAATTGTGAGAGAAGTAAACAAGGTGAAGAAACAGAACAGCATCACTCACTGGCTGCTTTCTATCATGATTGTGCTCACTGTCGCCTGGCAAGCCTCTGAGGCGACTTTCCTTTGGAAACTCAACGAGGGATTCAGACACCCCTTTCGATGCATCGGAGGGATGCTGACGGGGAACGGGAAGGACTCGGAAGAGCGCCACCGGGGTGAGTCTCCTTCTCTTCCTTCACTCCAAATACCTGAGTTCCCCTTGCCAGATATTAGTCTAAGTGAAAAGCATTGAATTTTTCAACAAAACTGTGAATATTATTATTAATGTTTGTCTCTTTTTAGTTTTTTTTCCTTCTTGCGGTGATTTTATAAGTCACTTCAGTATATGCGTCAACTTGTGTATTACCGAACATAACATATGAGTATGTTTGGGATTGTCTTGATGGATATTGTCGATGGACCGTAAGATTGGTTGATTAAATAGATAATTGAAAGTTATCCAAAGGATGGGATCACTTGGAAATTTTGTTCAAGTGTGGCACATAATACCACCCTTTGTTGAAATGTGAGTGATAATCTTGTCTTTCTCTGTAGTTCAACCGGAAAATGTCATTATAACGCCGGAGCTTCCGTCTGCCATCGGCATCACGTCGAAAATCTGAAAACGAAAACCGTAAAAACAAGTATGATTAGCATATGGAAACAGAGATTACAAGCATAAAGATGAATATGCCAACAAAAGAAGACACGGCCCAACACTGCAATAATAGGTTCTCTTCTTTTTTCTTGACAAGGGGATGTTTAGATGGAACTTTCATCCTTCCCAGCAGGCAGTGCGGAAGAAAATCCTTTACCTCCTCATGCAGAGACCGTTTGGTCATTCGTATGAATTAAAAAAATTCATGGTTCACTGTGAAGATGCTACTTATCACTATAACTGTTGATCAGTTCGACACATATGGTTTTCAAATCATTTTTCAGAAATACATCTTGGTTGATAAAGAAAATGAACGATAAGGCAAGAACGCCGCTGGCCGGGACCCAACTCTCCCGAACAATGGTGCCGATTATGTGCGTGTACATTCAGCACGACACGATTGAACTTCTCTTGCACAGTTGGGAAAACTGAAACAAACCAGCCAAACCAATCCAATCCAGGCACTTTGGTCAGTTATCCAGAATTTTTGCCATTCCTACTAAACGTAACTTGTTGGAAAAGAGAGCTAGAAAGAAAAAACCAAAGAAAATCTCCCTTGCCGTTGCAAAATTTATTTGAGTGAAAACAGCTGCGTTATCGATACTACTATCAGCCGTTCATGCACATGTGGTTTGATAGCAAATTCCCACCAAGCAATCACTAGATATTACAGCAAAACAGAAAATTTATATGAGGATTAGTCTTCAAACCTCCAATAACTGTATTCATTTAGACAATTACCCAGCAAGGTAAGCATCATCCATTTAACCAATAATAATCTCTGAAATTTTCTCTAAATTTAGAGAAAAAAACCACATTCAACAACACTAAACACACCACCAACCCAAAGACCGAAAGTTCAACCTGCAATAGAGAGAAATGTGTTTCGTAATCTCATCTTCACGCATAGTTCAACCGGAAAATGTCATTGAGAACGTAGAAGCTTCCCTGTTGAGTCGGCATCAGATGGAACATCTGGAAATGAAATACAAAACTATGATTAGGTAGAAGCCAGCTGAAGATGGAAACAAAAACTAGTAAACTACAATGTAAAGATAAATATTTCAAGATGTTCACAATCCTGCGTAAATGGTAAATCACATGCATATTGGATTCGATAAAGGAAGACACATGCCAGCACCCTATTATTTAAAATAAGTAAACATAGTAGAACACTCATTTGCAACAGGTTTAAGAACAATTTTTCGGGAATCTTGGAATTATTTATCTGAAACACATACATCCGCATAAAATTTTCATGTATAAGTGAACAGCTGTTGAGGTCCTGATGAAGCAAAGCGATAATGACAACACCATGAGATGGCTCTTAATGTTAATACAAGAAGCAGGGAGCAAAGAACATGGTATAATGATAAACAGGGATGCAAGACAACAACAAGACGCAGAATGGAGCGCTTATCCCTTATGGGGCACCTGAAAACACACAATGTCATATCCCAAAGCAGGAGGGAGGGGAGGGCGATAAAACTAATGCTGGAATTCTATCATGTGTTTGATGGCTGAGTGCAAGCAAAAAGTAGCCACAGTCACATGCCAAAGAAATGCATATATACCAACAACAATCACGAACTGTCACTCAGTCAGTGCATCACACATCATGACGGAAGCAGAAAACCAAGGGAACCAATATAATTAGCATACTTAGGTTTGCCGAGTTTTTATCTATCAGTTAACTTTCTTGACAAGAATAGCAAATCAAGCAGTTTCAAATCGTTAATCACTACACGTTGTCCAAGATCCCTGTAAAACGGGTGGCCATTAAGCAAAAGGTGATACAAAACCCTTCATAATACCTACAAAGCAATTAGAGTCAAGAGAGATAACGGATAGACATAAATAGAATTCCAAACAATAAATACCAATCAATGAAATCAAAAATACATAACAACAACGTAAAACTTTCTATGACGTGAAACTAGAAGACGACGAATTTCGTGGACCTATATGCCATAATTTAGGCCACAGGAAAATGAAACAACTATTTAGTAAAACTGAGAATTCAATAGAGAATTCCTTTGCAACATAGAGAAAACAGTACTTTTATGCACACGGTTCAACATAAGAAGAAGCCAATATCTAATTAACAACAAAAGGCATCGTTAAATCGACTAAGAATCTTCAATTGATGTGTATAAATAAAAAGAAACACCAAACGAGCACAAAATCCACAGCATTGAAACATGTGAGCTCCAATCAAACTCAAATATAAAAGAAACAAAATCAGAATATTCAAAGCTACAAATGTCCGTCTCCGCGAGTAATCCGCTGAGTGAGTGAAACCTGCATAAGCACACACGGGTGAATGATGAATCCGAATGAAATTGCAATCACACAAGCTAAAAACGCATGCATCTAATCATAAGGTCCACAAATCAAATCACATACAGACAAACACCTGGTAAATCATACCAAATACAGTCAATCAATGATTGCAGTTCCAATATCGGATTTGCATACTCGAGTTTCGAGTAGATCGGGAACTAAACCTCGATCACAGAGGCTAAAATCACTAAAATCATACCCAAGAAAACTCATAATCCTACTTATAGCAACAGCAGAAACGCAACGACAATCAAATCGTCACAACAACCACCAATCGCACGCCGGTTTAGCAGCAGATCAGCAAATGAGTCACATCTAAAACCCTAAAATCGCCGCAAAAGATTTAAACAAAGACGAGGTAAGCAATATTATACCTGGCTGAACTTGAGAGCGTGCTGTTCACCGGAGAGCTGCAGATTGCCGCTGACGAAGACGAGCATGCCGCCGACGGGGCCAGAGGGCTGGCAATCGACGGTGGTGATGCTGTGCTGACACTGCTGGAAAGGGAGGCTGGTGAGCTTGGCCACGATGTTTTGTGACCCTTGGATCTTCTGACCTTCGAAGGTCAACATCGAGCTTTCCTGGTACAGATTCGCCAAGGCCGCGCGGTTGGCGTCGAACAACGTGTAGTAGTGCTCAACGAAGGCCTTGGAAAGTGCGTCTGGATCCATCGCCGTCGCACCTGAACGCCACGCCGCAGAGGAGACTCGACTGTGAAATTTGTTAGAAGGGACTGCTGCAAAACAAAGCGATGGGAGGAGACGGAGCGAGTAGGGACAACTTGTGACCGAGTGGGCAGTTTTTATATATATATTTATATTTCAATTATTTGAGTTTTGCGGGGTCAAATTATAATTATCATAAATTTTGAATTATCAATCCTAATCCAAAAGTATTGCCGCGTGACTATAACGCTGGTTGTTATTATTATTTTTGTTTTTTATTCTAGACTTTGGAGCAAGTTTTGTAGTGATCCGCATTACTAGTTTTTATGATAATTCTATAATTTTTTTGTTCTTTCGTACCAGCGATATTGAAGAAGAGAGAATTTTTGTGTTTCGGTGCATGAATAAACGTGCAACTTGATCTTGAGAAATATAAAAGTGAAAGAGAAGTAGGATTTTAATACGATTTCATATACGAATCAATGTTGTTTTGGTGCAATTATCTGGAATAATTAGGTTTCGACATTTGATTGCAGAAACAATCAGTTTTTACAATATTGTGTGGTCATTATGTCATCGTTCAGTCATCGATATATGATTAGTTTTTATCAAATTGTCATTGTATCATCATTGTGTAGTCGTTCTAGCAACGTTCACTTCTACAATCAACCATTAAAAACTAATCATTCTAACTACGTACTATTACAAAAAAGAGCATGTTATCGGGGCTCACCATTGTTTGATAAGAAAATAATTCTATTTCGACAAACTAGGTACTTTTAAAAAACAGAGTATGTTATTAGGGCTTGGCATCGAATATCCACATGTCAAAAGTTCGATATCTGCAATAGACTCGGACAATAAAAATCGACTTTCTCAAATTATCAACATTGTATGGTTACATCAAATCTAAAAGGAAAAAAATGGCCGACTACATATCTTTATTGAGGTTGTAATTTACAATGTGCATTCTCCAACAGCTTCCCAGGAAAGGCTACAACATCCTCCTTCCTGCCAAATCAATCTCTACATAATACACAGATGCTAAGTAAAGTGTGACAGATCTTCAACGATGCGAGCTTCTATTATTACATTCAGAATCAGAATCAGAATCGGAATCCAAACCCAGAGCTTTAACGTCGTCGGTTCTCTTGAACTTTAACCGGAACTCAAAATTCCAGGCTACCGATTTCAGTGGAAGAAGCTTGGAGATGGATCAACTTTACAAGGAGAATGAACCGGCTTTGATATCTGGCTCACAAAAATAAATACAAGGGAAAAGAAAACTGACTTGGATCACAAGTGATCGAGCAGGGCTCCTATATACACTCTCTGTGACAAAAGAAATGTTCTCCTGAAAAAATTAGCCAATGGGCAGTGTGTTGTCAGTTCCTGACGGCACGCGCGATGATTTCATCAAATTTTCGTACATTTTCTTCTAATGTTCCACAATGAAAATATATGGAGCATTGGAGCGCGCAAACTAAATCTTCGTCAATAAAAACTTACTCCGAGGAAAATTCTGAATGCATTTACAGTGTCTTGGAGAAACGGTGTGCTGATGCCATCAGCAACTCATCAGTTCAAGTCCTCACTACGCGTTTCCAGTTGTAGTAGATTGGAAAAAACGTGAAACTTCGCGATAAAGCTGTTCAGCTTCGAATGGTTTTGAAACATATCCATCCATTCCGCACCTTGTGCATTCCTCATGGGTTGCCTGAATTACATCAGCAGTCATGGCCAGAATGGGTACATGCCATGCTTGAATATTTTCATAATCCTCCACAGAAACTTCGCCATGTTGAATACTGTTGCTGATATTGCATTCCACGTCACGTATTCTCCTTGTAGCTTCAAACCTGTGGGGGGAAGAAATGGAACTTATAAATGTCGTGACAAAATTAATCCAGGATAGCTCAAATGGATCAAAATTACCAAAAAATGGCCAAGTATACAACCGAAATAGAGATTTTACATGGCTACCTTCAATATAAGACGACTTGCAAAAACTGAACTTGCTAAGAAGTAAGCCTCGCAGGTTAAATATTATTTTTAAATCTTAAGTTATCTGACATTTCAGTGAGGTTTTCAAATTGAAAGCTTTCAAAACTAAAAGCATCACTCACCCATCCATCTCTGGCATCTGGATATCCATGAAGCAGGCATCGAAATGGTGGGGTGGTGTAAGCAGTGAGATTGCCTTTTTACCACTGTCTGCACAGATCACCTCTGCCCCATACTTTTTCAAAGCACCGGCAGCTACTCTGAGATTCACATTATTATCATCTATAATAAGAATTTTCCTTCCGAGCAGAAGATTGCGGAGAGACAAACTTGGGAGCTCCCCGTTCCGGAGATTTCCCTTGTTACCAACTCCCATGGCTCTTTGCAGTGAGGCAGCGAGCATGCTTGCCCTGAGAGGTTTCATGATGACGGTTGGGGTAGAGACACCTGAAGTTGCAGAGCTTATTCTGCATGAGCTACTAGAATTGGCAAGAATGAACAGTTTTGGAGGAACCCGTCCATCAATTTTCCGTAAATTACTGACAAAGAGAGCTGAAGTTCCTGAATCTTTATTCCAGACTTCCTGTTCAACAAGGACCATATTGATAGTTGTACTCCCACAGCTTATGCTAGCTAAACCCTGATTCAAATCAGAAACTACTTCAACACAAATTCCAAGCCGTTGGATATGATAACTTGACATCTTGGCCCTAACAGGTCTTTGGTCCACTACTAATGCCGTCATGCCATTAAATTCTGAGGATGCAGCATTTGACTGGCTGTTGATTTGCTCGATGGTTAACTCATTTGAACTGGAGCTGGCATTGGTGAAAACAGCAGTAAATGTAAATGTGGAACCAATCTTCGGAATGCTAACAAACCCGATTTCCCCTTCCATGAGGCCAACCAAACACTTGCTTATGCTTAGTCCAATTCCTGTGCCTCCATGTGTACGTGAGATGGATGGTCCCACCTGCATAAAAGGAGTGAAAACACGAGGTTGGGCTTCTGGAGGGATTCCTACTCCTGTGTCCTCAACAGATACAATAATATTGATGAGGTCAGATGAGGATGAAAAACGGCTCGCAGATCCATCTTGACCAAAACACCGAAATCCTCCCCAACTGCGGCGTTTATCTGCAACGGGGAAACCACTCAAAGTGTTCTTCGATGATGATTCAGTCTCAACGCCTATTGAGCCGATCAGCTCCTCGACAAGATGAACCGTCACAAAGATGTGTCCTTTCTCTGTGAACTGTATATAAAATAAACAATGTCATTGCCATTTTATACAGAATGCGGCCAACATGGCTTAAATAGAATTAATTTCCCGTATTTAACAAAGCCTAATATACGGTTTGATACATAAAGATATGCAGGGGTACATTTATCCACTCTCATGATTTTACTCTGTTTAACAAATAGTTGAGAACCCACTAGACACTTACTTTGATTGAATTCCCCATGAGATTAGTGATAATCTGCCGAAACCGTCCAGGATCACCAATAAGCATATCAGGAACCTGATCTGAGATGTATACTGCCAACTGCTCTCCCCAAAAATTTGGTCATGAAAATTTCAAAAGTTCAGTTATTAGACAATGAAAACTTAGATCAGAAAACCATACATAAAACAGTGGAAAATGTTTTTTGTTCTGGGGAAGTAGTGGGGGTGGAAACATTATTTACCTCTACTCCTTTTTCTTGAGACTTCCCCGAAAAGAGTGACAAAACATCATCCAGAATAGCTCGCAGATCAAAACGCACCGCCTCAAGCTCCAGCTTACCAGATTCAATCTTTGCCTGGTCCAATACCTCATTTATAAGTGAGACTAGAGCTTTTCCACTTCCCTGGGCAGTTCGGACATAATCTAGTTGAGTAACATCCAGGTTTGTGTCCATTAGCATGTGTAACATTCCTGAAAAGGGACAGGATTGTCAAATACTCAAAGTTCAGCAAGCTTTCTTTTGGCTGTAGTTTTGCTCTAAAATCTTGAGCAATGCTGGGACATGATTTTAAACAAATAACAGCAGCAGTCTCGCGAACTCACCTAGGACACCATTCATTGGGGTTCTGATCTCGTGTGAAACAGTTGCAAGAAACTACAGAGGATTAAGATCTGATTAGGCACAAGCATAGTACAATTCCAAACAAAATTTTCCTGCATTAACTAAAGTCAGAAAGTACCTGAGATTTGGCAACATCAGCTGCCTCAGCCTGTTTTTTGAGCTCCATCATCTTATGGAAATCATCCTCCACTTTGGCAATCCTATTTACAGTTGCATGGAAAATGTAGCCAACAAGCAATGCAATCACGAGGATCCCAATAGAAGTTGTAATGGCTAACCACGGCCAAGGTGGCTTATGTTTGAACCTGCATAAAGAAGAAACTCAGCTTCTGAATACAGTTCTACAAGACTTTCTAGATGCCTAGGTCCCTCAGAAACAGTGTGATCAGAATAAGAAACACAAACATAACATTTCCTAGTCTCAGTCCCATTACCAGAGACCAAGGAGAGGCCTATATAACATAGAAGCTCAACCCTAAAAAGTATAAGGCACAAGACTTAGTAGTTACCTGCACCGCATTTCATGGTTCCTTAAGGGATCTCCAAAACTTAAGGAGCTGATGCGCTGCAATCCATCATCTGAAACATTTGAACCGTACATGCTGATTGGATGCGACTGATTGGTAGTATCATACACGTTCACAAGGATGGTTTGCTTGCTAGCAAGTTGTTGAAGTAACTTCTCCACCAGTGACTCAATATGAAAGATTCCACCGAGATACCTGGTTGGCAGAAACAACAGGATTACAAAACCTTCTTCTAAAGTATAACCACTTTGAGTGTTCTGAGTCCAGCAAAGCAATTCTGTCTGCTGATATCCCTTCAAGGCCTTGATGATACCATAAAGGAATGTGGACATGCTTTTTATTGGCGGAAGACTTGTATTATGCTTTTATTAATAACATGTTCTCATTCAAAGAAAGCATACCCATCAGTCGCTTGAATTCTTTCGTTTGGAGTTGCATTTGAGGGCAGATCTCTTTTGTAGACAGCAAATGTCAGTATTACTCCAAGTCTGTTTGTTTTAAGCAGCCGAAAAGGAGCAGTAAGAACCCCCTTTCCCGATTCTCTTGCACGCAACACGTTTTGTCGATCTTCCTGTTGAAACGCAAATGAACGAAACTTCACGATTGAGGATTGCAAATCAGGAAACCAAATTTTTCTACATAGCATGAGACAATGTCAAGAGCTTTCTAAATTTCTAATATAAAGGTACTATCATCTAAATTTTGGATACATCAGGACTGCAAAGTAAAAGTAAAAGATCCTAGACAACTACCAATTAACATGCTGCTTAATTAAGATAATAGAATTCGACTGGATCTACCAGTATAGTTGTTAAATGAATCGTGACAAGTTGACGAAAGAAACTAGATAAGGAAATACCTTCCCGGTCAGCATATCAAAAGAGATGACATGTCTAACGGTATCCTGTGCAAAGATAACAGGAGCATATTCTTCCTGAATTGGGGAAGGTTCCAAGGCTTCTGGGGCATAGTCATTCTTATGAACCTGGTTCTGTTCGAGGGTATCCATTCTCTTGATAGTCCAGCCCTGTTGCTTCTCAAATTGTTCTTTTTCCGAGTGGAGCACCCTTACAGCATATGCCACGCCACTTGTGAGGGGTCTCTCGAAAGCAGTTCTTTCAGTGTACCGCGCAAAAGTTTTCTGCAGGCTCGAAAGTTAGGATGTTCCATCAACTAGATAACAAGCATCATAGCTACAGAATGCTCAGATCTGAATATCTGAAACTAAATTAAGCTAAACATATCAAATTAACACCGGTTGAGAAACCGGTACAAAATTCTTCGAATTTAAAGCAAATCCCCACATGAACAAAATGCATCAACTAGCAAACCAGTTAATTAACAGACAGGGGTAGGTACTCATTAAGTACCCTCAATTAATATCAATCCGAGTGACATGAAACACCAATTAGCCTATACACATCAAAAGCATCAATGACACAATCAATTAAAACATATTTACCATCCTAAATTGCTCCACGTTGACAGATGATCTCTTTACCTGATCAATGGCCGACGGATACTTTCCGTGGTGGAATGTCGAGATCAGTATCGACATGGCCTGGATATGGTTCATGCTGACATTAAACTGATCCTGCAACATCCTCGCCCTCTCATCACACATACTTGCAAGAGTCTCCTTCCTCTTCTCACTGGCCTGTGAGCTCATGTACCACAAGATCCAGAGGCTCCCAATTGTCCACCCAACCACCCACGAAAACAAAAGCCTCCTCCACCACGTTTTTCGGACTCTCTTCGACCCGATATACTGGTAGTAATGGTGGCGGATCTTGCTGATGTTCATTGGGATTTTCTCCCACCATTTGAGGCACATATTAGCAGCTTCACCAAGCAAACCTACCTTGGTGTCTGTCACAATCCCACCAGTGAGGTACCAGTTCATGGAAATTACAGATACAATCCAGCAACATAGCATCCAAAGCAGATGCCCCACCTTTAAACCGAACTCAAATACATGGAATAAACTCATCCACCACAGCAGTGAACCAAGCAAGTTAACCACAAACAGTGCCAAGAGGTCAAATGAATTCTAGAGAGAGAAAGAATGAAGAGAGAGAGAGAGAGAGAGAGAGAGAGAGAGGGAGGGAGAAGGAGACACCAGCTATCAAATCAACAGGAACTGTCCAGCAAAACCCAACATTTAGAAGTAAAAAATTCCAAGCTTGGAAGAACAAACCCACCGACCTTGAATTCACTGCAACCAGGAAGATTTTGGGATTCTGGGGACGATGTGTGTGGTGTGGTGGGTGTGGGAAGAAGTTATCTTATCCACAACCAAATAACTTCAACTTTGGGTGCGCAGGAACCAAAAACAGGACACCCAAAATCAGGAAAAGACAATAAATTTACTAACAGCACTCCAAAGAACAAGAGAATCCCAAGATTCTGTCTGTTTTTTTCTAAATTCTAACAAGAGTTTGATTTGATTATCCTCTTCAGCCACCAACCAAAACCCAAAACAAGCAAATGCGACAGCAAAGATTCCAACTTTGGTAATCAAACCAACAGAGAATCTGACAGGAAAATCCTAGTTAAGGAGTGAGTACTTAAATTCCTGAATTCAAACCAAACCCAGTTCGAGCATGTGTGTTTTGTTTGTTAACGTTTGACTATTGAGCACACCCAGCTGCAAAGATCTATGCAGAGAAGAAGCACTGACAGTACAATAAGGAATGAAGATAATGGTGGAAGTAGCAACTTTGGGAGTGGAAGAAGAACAAGAAGCCAGCAGGTTTGGATGATTCATGGACATTAAGAATTAGGAAGAAGAATCCGTGAGAGAGAAAATATTGGAAGAATATGGTGGTAGAAATGTCTGCTAGCGCAGCCCATTATCTCCATCCAAAACATCCACCCAGGAGAAAATAAAAAAATTAATTAAACAAAAACAAAACCAAATAATTATATAAATTTGTTTACATGGAAAGATGGATAAATATATTTAGAAGAAATGTTGGACGACCGTTGATACACATGTTGTAATAAGATTGATCGATAATACTTACTTATAGTAAAAATCAAATCTACATGTTGATTTAAGTTGAATAATAATATCACGTAAACGTGTTTCGGTGCCTCAGAAAACTACTCGATGTTTAGAAATGAAGGGCAGTAAAGGTACACACTCCCACTGAAGCAGAAGTAGCTGCATTATTTCTCCAACTTTCCTATGGCGTTCACAACTTCACATCCATATCCATCAAATGCCCCAGTTGACAAATTCTACACGCTATGGGTGCCAATTCGTTAGCTCTATGCGTTTGTAAGGCTGTACTTTTCGATGACAAAAGTACCCTTTGCATGGGGGTCTAATTTCTTTCTTTGACATCTTTGCCTCGGTGCTTTGTACCGAATGGCATTAGATGCCCCATACTTTTCCAAAATTGCATTTGGAGGACCAATAGTCAAAAGAGTTGGTAAAAGATAGAAGGGCCAATGATAGGAACTTGTGGGAGGTGCCATTGTGCTATCTTCTATCCGATTCCTATCCCTGTTTTTGTTCTGGAATCTAAACCAATGTTTGGTTGCAGGCTTAGGGTTTTTTTTATTCTCTGTTTTCGGATTATGGATTGGCATTGATTGGTTCTTTATTCTAATTTTATACTATAAGAATTTGGAACGAAAATCATGAAAATACAAAAGAAAAAAGTGTAGAAGACAACAGACAAAGCCGTGTTTCATTTGCTTCATGTCTGTAATTTTTTTGGTGGCATACAAGAACACATTGATTTGTAACCAAAACTTGGAGTGGGCAAATGTCTGATTCGGCTAACTCCACCTCTAATTTCAACTATATAATATAACTGAGTTAGTTTGGTTTGGTACGTGACAAAATCCAATAATTAAGCTTATCTAGAGAAAAACCAATCTTTAGTTTTTTTTTCAACTCGATTTCGACTAGTTCACTAGTTAACCGGTTTAGGATCCACCTTAATTATGATTTGTATGGTGCCTCAACTCAAAAACTCAAGCTCGTTACATTGAAGGCAAAGCTAATAAGGTCTTTGTCTTATGTGTCGCTCCACCAAGGTTTGAGTCATGCTATCAGCAGTCTCGTTGGTGTGCAATCTGTAAATTTCTACATAAATTCGTACCGATGACAGCTGACAATTAAGTGTCACATGTAAATCCGTTTGGCTTGAAATTATGGGCATGCATTGGCGATGATGGTGAGTAACCAATCTCATCTTAAACTTTTATCCATAAAAAAGCTAATAAGTTGAAAGAAAATGTTAAAAGTAAAGTTAAAACCAACCCCACCAATGACAAAGAGAGTTTTGTGTACATGTGTTGATGTTACCAATCCCTCCAGGTCTAGTAGGAAGCAACAAACAAACAAGAAACAAAAGTTGGACAAGGAACCAGGCATGGAAGCAAATACAACCAAAATGTAAGGGCTAAATTGTCAACGAAGAAGATAAGCTAGGGGAGGTGGTTAGACGACAACATGTGGCAGAAGCGTAAAAGTGTGAGAAAGCAGGGGCGAGAACAAAAGGGCACTTTAATCAAGGCTTGTCACGAAGTGATTAGGCCATCACTACTACCCACTTACTTTTTTCTGGTGAGCTCCTTGTGAAAGCGACCCGTCCCACGTCAGCGCACCGGTTCTATGCCGCTGGCCAATCAGAATGTCCAAAATGTAATGTGCGTAATGGCCTTGCTTGCTACGTGTCACGTGTGGGGGGAGACGATTGGAAATGTGAGCATCTCTCTCTCTCCCCTCTCTGCGCTTCGTTTCGGGCTAAATTTGTCGGAGTCCAGCTCAGCATTGTGTTCGTATATAATCAACTCTGTAAAACTGAAAAAATTGCCTCTTCATCGCAGCTTTTATTGACTGGTAACTTTTAATCTTTTTCCTCAGATAATTTAATATGTTTTTTCCTTGTAGAATATTGGATCATTTCTTTCATTTTACAATCTATTTTCATGCTTGATTTATTACTTTTCGATCAACTTCCATAGACTGTTCTTGGTTCTAAAATTGTCTTTTAAGGACTTAAGTCGTGCTTAATTTGACCTTAGTAAAGATGTAAACATTATTTTCCATTGCAGCCATTCATAGCTCATAGCACTTCTCGTTCTAACTTTTCAGCACCGAGCAGGTGTCGTGCTCTGTACATCACATGATTATTTCCCTAAGTGAGGCATTTTCTAAACCAATTAGATAGAGTATAGAAGGGTCTAATTGCATATAAATATGAAAGAGTGCACTGAGGGTCTCCCTACAAAAAGTACCACAACCTACTAAAAGTTTGAATTTTTTTATAAAATGATATTATAATTTATTTTAATTCATAAGAAGTATTTAAATTTGAGTGCAAATAAATCAGACAAATTATTCTTAACTCACACATGTCGTTACTTCATTAATTAATAGTAAATAGTGAATTTTATTCAAGTGACACCTATGCATATGCAAAATTACTACATGAACTTCCAAATAGTTAAAATGAATTAATTTGTCTTATATATGGTGTAGAATAAATTTGGGTATATAAATGGAACCCACTTAGTTATTAGTACCATTTCTAGGTCCTATTAATAAAATAATAATAATAATAATAAGGAATTGTTATTAGCATTCAAAAAATCTCATTTCGCACTTCAAATTTTCCATAATTAGAAAGAAAAATACACTTGTGAGGAGTGTAGAATGAGATTTTTGGAGTGCTAATAACAATTCCCTAACAATAATAATAATAATATATAATTCGAATACACTAACGGAAAAGGATCTTCTCTGGATTCTCTTTGTGGGGATCCGGGGATCAATCAATCACGTTTGTTTATCGTACATCGTGTGATCATTTTTTGTTAAATACTATTTATATTCAATTTTAAATTTTAAATATTTTATAACCGCATGATGTACAATGAACGTATTTGATTGATTGATACCCCAGATCTCCACAAAGAGAATCCGGCAAGGATCCTTTTCCTAGGATAACAACAATGTGTGAGTCATTTCGAGGGGCCTATTAGCAAAAAAATAATATATATATATATATATATATATAATTTGAATAAAATAATAACACTTGTTTGCTGAAAAAAAAATAATAACAACATGTGACAATTTTTAATATCCATCGAAAAAATTACTCTTAAAATTATATATTTTACTTCGTCGTACCTGGACATTGAACATGGTTGCGATGATGGATACCTCAAAACAAATTTATTCTGGAGATGCTAAGACTAGGTCTAATTAAACTTCCTTATTTTACTTTCTAATTTATTAAAAAACTGCTTTTTATGTTAAATAAATGACACAAAATCGTAATAATAAATAAATTACGAGGAAATTAATTAAACAAATATATAATTATCCCCAGAGAAGGAAACCGGGCAGCTTACTTCTTCATCTGGTACAACCGTACAAGCAGCCTCCGCCAAAAATGGTGGCTGTCCAAATCTCTTTTCTCTTTTCCTTTTCATATTTGTGCTGGTTTGGTATTCTTCAACTCAAAAATCCAAATGCTTGCAACCCGTACCATACACACAATTAACATCACCATCACAAGCTTCGTATATTTGCCCAAACAAAGGACAAAATTAATAACCACCTAACTCTTTCATAAACGCGTAGGGTATTACAGTTGTTGATCAATGTAAATTTCTTCGTTAGAACTTTTCGGTAGTAGTCGTGATTAGGCTTTATCTAGGTTTAATTCCTTGATTCCTACCCATTGGATTATTTGCTATGAGTTTTTGGCGGGTGATTAACGCTAGCGGAGCCCTCGACCCGAAAATTAAGAAGCATATGATTAAGATTAATGATATATTAATCCACAAGAAATACTTTGACGAATATAGTTGGAAGCTTCGGTCAGCAAAAGACATAGAGATGGAGTTTAAAACTTTAAATTATAACATAGAGCCTTGATAGGGTTTTCAACAGGAAAGGTCAAAGACAGAACAAATTTTCAATAACCCACCTAATTTTTAAAAATTAAAATAATAATAATTGATTTACAAACAATAATAATAATGATTAATAAAACATAATTAGGTCACTCTCAACAAAGCTCCCTTTGAATCCTTGTTTTTCATTAACAAACAAACTAGGCGTCAGAGATTACGGCATCCTACCCGCCCAAAGGACGAACACGACTCCACGTCATCAACAAAAAGAGAATAAAGAGTTAAAGTTGTCTATGAAATGAAGCATCTCTCTTAATCCTACTTAACCTAATTATTAATCTAATGATCAAGAAAATAAAGTAACTTGAGTTCATTTACGTTTCGATATTTAATATATACTTGTTTGATTCTTGCAAGCCATGTTACGATGCTGCTTGCTGGCTGCCACCAATGAAAGATGCTCTCGTGTAATTGAAGACATTACACGACAAACATTTATTGAACATATAATATATTTTTTTAATAAGCGATAAATATTTGTCGGACGAGTGATATCATTGAAACTATTAACTATGCTTTGATTGCAACTTGCAAGGGAGAATACCTGTATTACAACTTTGAAGTGTTCTTGCACTTAGCGGGTTGTGAGGAGTTGTACCACATTTACAAGTTAAGCGGTACGATATTTTATTGTCACTTGATTTTGGAATAGAATCTCAACGCTATTTACGGTATCATAATTAATTTATCTACGTATAAAGTTTGAAAATCACATATGCTTCACGTAATCCAATAAAATTACTCATTAATTTGTTAGATTATTTCCTACATTACTAATTAATTTTGAATTAAAGCCTCAATTTCATTCGGCGGCACGTTGTGGACCCTTAAATTGTATAAACGTAGAAGGGTGGTGATTGATGGAAAATGGCATGTGTGGATTTTTCGAGTTTTAAATTAAACATCGCATTAATTAATGAATGAGATTAGAATAATTGAGAATTATTGTTGAAGGTGGATCAACAAAGCCCTATTAATTTAGTGTCTGCGTGATAGATATGTGGCTACATGCTCGACGGTGGAAATTTGCCACATTGTATTGCTTTTCTCTTAACTTGCTTCCAACCTAACAGCTCAACACTCGTCGGACCAAAAGAATAAATTGTCACTAAAAAGTTATAAGTTTATTTAAGCATGGAAGTGCAGATAGTGCAATAATTAAGCACGCAATATTCAACGAAAATATGAGAATTAAAGTTGATTAATCGTGAATGTAAGTATATTTAGCACTACTTCTT